CTCCATTACTTTTAAATTACAGCAGGAATGCTTCAAGATGTAAACTACACAAAGAAAATCTTTCTTACCATAAGCAGGACTATACTCCAACGGTTCACAAAAGGAACAGACAGTTCAGGGACATAGCATAGAATTTTGGCGCAGTTGAAACCCCCAGTGAGTTCCAAGAGTCCCTTAGAACACTTGCCTCGTGGACATCAGCGGGTTTTCCCAATGTGCTTTCAGAAATAAGATGGACACCATTTCAAAGGGCAAGTCATTCTGTTTTCAAATAACTTGAATAATTAGGCTGGTCTTTCCTATTTTAAGGTGAAATCTATCCCTGTAACTTCCATCCCTTAGTCCACTCTCTAGAGCAATATAAACAAGATTGTTCCCCTTCTAGGTTGCAGTCCACTGGATTCAGGGTTCACTGTCACATTCTGCCTGCCTCTCCCCTCTTTCCTGGATGGACGCCCTGCTTCCTCAAAGCCCTCACAGCAGTCGACGATCTCACCGTCCTCATTCATCTTTCCCTGATTGTGCTCAAGCGCGGTCTTTTGAAATTTCTAATAGAGTCGTTTATCTTGAAATTCTTTTCTTTTACCCATGTTTTCCTCTCTTAAAAACAAGCAAGAAATAAAAAGGCACACACAACTCTCTATTAACTTCTAGTGTTCATTTTACTTCTCTTTTGTCCTTCAAAGTTTTCAAAAAATATTTTATACTCACTTTTCCCACTCCCTCCTTTTTTAAACCCCAACAGTGTGTGGCTTCTGTCTTCTTACCCTCCTGAAGTTGTTTATAACAATACCCATGTTGTACCTTGAAGGCGAGCTGGCGAAGTGGCCTGAGAAAGGATGGAGGTGTCAAGCAGACCTGGGTCGTGTCGTGTGGTGACAGCATATCTAACCTCCCTCAGTCTTAGTTTCCGCCCGGGTAGAACAGACTGTCGTGTGACGACCCACTTAGATACTGTGAGAGGTGCCCACGTGGGCAGCCGACACCTGTGCGGGTCACTGCTATTTGTTACCATTACTGCTCTCGCCAGTGGGCGCCCGACTCGGTGCCCATCAGATCGCCTGGTGGGCTTGTCAAAACAGATCTCTGGGCCCCACCCCCAGGGTTCCCGACTCAGGAGGCCTCGGTGCGGCCGAGAATGCGCATTTCTAACAAGCTCCCTGGAGACGCTGGGCTGGTTCCAGGACCACTCGGGGGATCACTCTGGCCCAGACGGTGCCTCCCGCAGACAGGTGCACCCAGGCCCCCCGGGAGCCGCCCACGGCCGCCGCACCCCCAGCCTCCGAGTCCCACTGCATGCCAGCCGACCCCACATGAGTCCCCGGAGGCCTCCCAGGGGACGGGCTGCCCTGTCTCCGCTGACCGGCGGTGCCCGCCTCACTACTCCCTTCCTACAGGCGCCCTTCGGCTCTCCGGGCACGATTTCTCTGGTTTGCCTCCCGCCTCGCTGACTATTCCTCCTCAAAGCCACGTTCCCCATTGTCCCTCTGGGGCTGAAGTTCACCCTTGGGCTCTGTTTTCTCGTGTTTTCGCTCTGCCTGCTTGTATTGCTTAAGATTAGATTCAACAGCAAATAGTACTAACACCCCCCAAAACAGTGGTTAAGACAAGACAAAGACCTTGCTTTCTCCTGTCGAGGTGCAGGGACATCTGTGTCCAGATGTTCCCCTGTTGTGAGGACTCACCTGTCACACGGGATTAGGGTCCCTTCCCCTGCAGGCCCCACCTTAACAATGTCATTCACTGTCAGTGACCCTGTTTCCAAATAAGTCACATTCTGAGGTTTAGGGCTTCACCATAGGAATTTGGAGGAGGGCACCATTCAACCCGTAATGGATTTAACCCCTGCTTTCTATGCAGTTATTGAGACCAGCCCAAGTCTAGGAGCCTCCGGTCAAGCGTCCGAGCCTGCCTGGAAGGCTGTGGCCGGGCCTCTGGCAGGGGAGGTAGGACAAGGCACAGTCAGGTGGCCAGGGGTTCGGCCAGGGCGGCTTTCTATGCAGGGGGCTGGGCTGGCCCATCTAGGCCACAGACGCGATTGCTGAATCTACCCGCCATGGCTCCGGCCTGGCAGCCCCCCTACCCCACTGTAAACATACACAGCACTTGCTGCCCCCTCGGCTCCGCACGCCTCTCCAGACATTCGAGCGGCTCATTCAGACTCGGTTCGAGTATCATTCGCAGAAAAGCCTTTCCTGCCTAAGCAGCCCTCCCCCTTCCCCATCACTTTCGGCCCCGTCCCATGTTCAGTTGTTTTGTTTGTAACATTTACACCGCCTGTTCTCTGTCCCTCACTAGAATCTAAGCTCCGGGAGGGTGCGGCTTTGTGCATGTTACTCACCTTCGTGCATTAACACCTGGAACACACACAGTGCTCAATAAACTGGTGTTGAAGAAATGGATACATTTGCTGAGATTTTGTTCACCTTACACACATCTTGTAATATGTAGATGAAAAGTATTCTGAGAGGCTCCCCCCAAGAACTGTTTTAGTGGATTGAAACCATTGTTATTAAAGAGAAAAAAAAAATAGACTAGAATAGATGCCAGAGCTTATCACAATTTAAGAATATTGTGGGGTGAAATCTCTGCTTTGGTTTCACACACCTACGTCTGTGTGTGCTGCGTCACAAAGTAAAATGATTTCTGACTTTGGGTCATGGTCAGAAAGAACCGCTGCTCTTGTCCTCATGGGACAGAAATATAAGTTTCTCTTGATGTGATTTTTAGCTTTTGATTTTTAGCACATTTCTTCAGTTCTTTTGAGGACAGAACAATCGCTATAGTTAACATTTAACTGTTCTTCAAAACAGTCTTTGCCCTTGAAGAGCCCGGAGTGTAGTAGGGAAGGTGGAAGCCCAAAACAGTAGGGGAGGTTCGGCAGGGAGCACAGCCTCACCGGAGTTCAGAGCAGCGGGCGATCAATCCTGCCGGGAGAGTCTCCTAAGTGACATGTTCACACTTAGATTTGGGGGGTGCACATATCCAGTGCTCGTGAGAAAAACACTGAAAACAACTTTTGCCTCTCATACTTGGTTATAGCCCCCGCCTGGGTGAGGAAGTCCTGGACTCCCAGCTCCTGAAGCTATTTTACTGAGAGCTTGAGAGCATCTGGAGGCATTTTAACATTATCCATCCATCTATCTACTTACCTACCTACCTATCACCTATCTACCTACATACTCCCCCTGTAGTTCTGTACGTGAAATTCCGCACAGGAACAGTGGCTGGCACAGACTTGTTCCGGCACCCCCAGGAGCATAGTGACACTCTGAATGTAGATTTCAAGCACTGAAGTCCAAGTCACTTTTTCAGTTAAGAATCGCTCTTGTTTAAGGAGCAGTCATCCAATTTTGAGTCTTTCCAGATGTCTATTGCTTTTGGGGTGTTTGCTGGACATTTCAGGGTATTCCTAGTGCCATACAGTTTCTTCCTTTTTGAAAAGATATGTTACATATTTTGAGAAAGCATCAGTGACCATGTCCACATTTATGAGAATTTGGTACAGAAAAACCACGTATGTGAGAATTCCTTTTTCAGACTAAGAATCTTGATTTGAGGTCGTAATAACACACACACACAAGAACTGCAGCCCGAGGAGAGTGTAAATCACCCCAACAGGTGTCAGGTCCAGGTTTCCCCCCGTCCCCAAACAGAGCCTTCCTGTGAGAACTTCCCTAGGTCGAGATGCCATGCATCCGAGAAGCGATCACCGTTCGTTAATATGGAGAGTTTCCAGTGCTCGCGGGCCCAAGAGAGAACCTCTCCCAGGCGTTCCTGGCACGTTTTCTGCCATCCTGCTCACGGGAGCACGAACCAGGCCCAGATAAAGCCCAGGCACTCACAGACAGCTGCGCTCTGGGGCTGACACTGCGCCGACTGGGGCTCTGGGAAGGACGCTGGGGGCCTCCTGCTGTCGGGGGCGCTGCAGACACACGACCAGCCCAACCCCCGCCTGTCAGCTCCTTTCATAAAAGTGGCCCCTTCGGGTCTCTTTCAGTGAGTGGTACTGACATGGGTCTTCGGCAAGAGCAAAGGCCCAGGTGGACTCCTGAAAAGCAGGGGTATCTGCACCCTGTCCCGGACCAATGAACCGAACGGGGTGCTCCTACGAGTCCAGCTTCCTCACGCAAGCATCCTTGGGCCAGTCCACTGTGCTGGTAGCTGGGATTTGCAAGGAAATAGCAATTTCCTTTTTTAATCACATCACTAAAGAAAAGCAGTATCACATCCCAAGTGTTATTTGGGGCAGATCAAAGCATAAACATCACTACATGGCATAAGGTCAAGTGTCTTGCACACATTACCTAACAGAATTTAGCCATCGCACGCAACAGTCCCTAAGATTCAGCTCAGGTTCCCATGCAGCTGTTTTGTATACAAACCAGGTGCTTCGGGGCCCATCTAAGTGGCTCACTTGGCCAGAAGCCTGGTAAAACCTGGCCTTCCCGGCCTTGTTTCTCCCGGCTCACAGTGATGGATCTCAGACATTGTAAAACGTCCTATCAAAAAACCAAGAGGGCGTTTACCTTGAAATTTTGTGTAGAAATGCTGATTTGACCTGTCCCCCTGGTACGGCTGACTCATTCTCTGCGGCACTGAGGGTCACCTGAGTCTGCTGCTCACACAGCCACGTTAACAGAGCGGCCCCGCTGAGGTCCGGCCTCGAGACTGGCTGTTAACCCCTTAGCAGCTATTTTAGAAGCCCGGTGAGGGGTTATCATTGCATGGACAGGAGCTTCTGTTCCAATTCTGCTTCAACTAGCGGGGCTGCTAACACTGAGTCTCTTTTTCTCCTTCCCTCCCTCCCTTCCCTCTGTTTTTCTTCCAATTACCATTTCTTGCACATATGGGATAACAGGTTGATTTTTGTTTTTAATGTTACCTGGCAGGCCCCTTTCTCCTCTATCACAACTGCAGTCTCAAAATATTCTCACTTCATTCTCCTTTAGCAGCATTTTAATTTAAAAATTCCCTTAAAATCAGAAAAAAAGCTCAGGTATGTTATAATTTCTTTTAATATTTTTGCTTACATATACAGTATCATAATTCACTTATTAAAAGTTACTGCCAGAAATACAACAAGGAAAAGGTAGGTTGTTGGCTGTCATTTCAGACTGTGACGTACTTGGAGGTAGTGACAGGACATGAAACAGGATCCTCTAGGCAAGGAAATTGTCTGCTCAGCTACAACCTGCAATTGAGGAGCTCTAAAACATGATAGTTTTATCAACAGTCAATATGAGATAGCTGTGTAAATACTATTTTAGGTTGTTCCAATCAAGGAAATAGGGGTGACTCAGCTGTTTATTCAAGTATTCATCACGTCAGGCGTGTGCTGGTCATGGAGGTACACAAGTAACCATGGCTGATGTAGTCCCTGATATGATGGGGCTATTTGGCATAAGAGACATTAAATAAATATTTTCCCAGTTAATAAATTACAGTCCTTCTGAGTGCCATGGAAGGAATGTACAGAGGTGGGAATATGTAATACGGGGGTGATTCCTGGTCTAGAATTTGGGTGGGGAGCAGTAGCAGGGTTGTTCTCCTGGGGCAGGGGTGGGTAAGGATAGGCCGAGTGTGGGTCGAGGTTGACTAGACCCAGAGAGGAGTCAAATCCAGGCCGAGAGAACATGCAGGTGCCAGGCTGGGCAAGAGCTTTGGTGCCTCTGAAGACCAGAAAGAGTGGTGGGGGTCAGTGTGTGGAGGAGGCGGAGGCGGCACGCAGGCCGGGGTGGCCCAGGAGACCCAGGATAGGCATTCTGGGTCCTGCGAAGAATTTTTAGGGTGACTTTACATGAAGTTGTATGAATGAGCTGCAGCTGCATAACAAACACCGCCCCGTCTCAGGAGAATGAGATGGTGAGCGTTTATTTCTTGCTCAGACGAGTCAGCTGGGTGGGCCTGGCTTCCACTGTGGGTGTGAGGTCTGCCACGGGGGCTCTGCTCCGCGCCGGCCACGCTGGGGCCTCAGCCTAGGGCCCGGGCTGCCTGCAGGGGCTCCTCGTTGGCGATGCTGCACCAGGGTGAGCCTGACAGCAGACTGGCACAGGCGTAAGGCGGAAAAGAGCGCGCTGGTCTGTCTCCTATGCCCCGCGTTTATCTCAAGAAGCTCTAACTTGCCCACACCTCCATTCCCCGGGCAACCGCTGGGGACACGCGAGGGGTTTCAGCTGAGTCCAAGGGCCAGAGGGTCCCGGGGAAGGTTGAGAGCCCAGCAAAAAAAAAAAGGAGGCAGTCATCCAGGGACTCTGAGAAGGTCCGTAGGGTTTACGTCCCAAAATAATCAAGTTACACAGAAAGTTCAAAGACCCACCATGTTCAACTCTTCCAAGAGGGCCATCTGCTTTGTGGCACATGAGCTAACATCCCATTGGCCAAAATGAGCTACGTGCCCATGCCCAACACCAATGGGGCGCAGGGGACAACCTTCTAGGGAGGCGGTGGTGGGGGGAGAGCTTTTCTGCAATAATCTAATCACTGAAGCCACTGAGGGATTACAGCGCGGAGGTGGGGAGGCAGATTTGACTTTAAAATGCTCGGTGGAGAGTATGGGAAACCGATTCAGACTCAAGAACCATGGTAGGGAAACAAGGCGGTTACTGTGCTATGGTAAGAGAGATGGTGGCGGCTTGGACGAGGCGGTGCTAATGCAGCTGGAGAGGATGGATTCAGATACATAGACTGTAGATAGAAATGACAAGATATGTCGACTTTCCAGAAACGCCAAGACCTTCACCCTGGCTTTCCCATCAGCTCCTGAGTGGAGGGACGTGCTATTCATTGTGACAGAGAAAAAACTAGTTTTATGATGGGAGATGATGAGGTAAGTTTTGTGTCCACTTGATTTTGGCAGAGCAGGTAGACATCTGAGTGGGGCACCGTCTGTGTCGTCACTATGAATCGCATCTTACACACCCAGTGCTGGCAGAACTTTCGTAATTTCTCCAGAACAGGACTTGTTGTTCTGCTTATGTTTGCTAGGAACCAGAAGAGATTTCAAGTAGACATTTCAACAAAAACAAATAACTTTAACAAATAAATAACTTCTCGGAGATAATTTAGTCTAACCTCTTCATTTGACAATTACATTTAAGAAGACCCAGAAGTATTTTATTCCTTCTTGTATAGATGCATTGTTTTAAAAAGCATAGCTTATATAATCAATCAATATGCAAAAATTTTATTAAACATTTATGGTGTGTTTCATACTTTATTTGTGGTATGAAATATAATCATTAGTAACAATTAGGACAGTAATGATATAAAATTTTGTTAAGCACTGTGTGTCAGGCATTTACCAAGTGTTGTTCATGTATTATCTCATTCATTCCTTGTACCAGAATGAGTTTATGAAGAAAATGAGACATAATGGTTAGCACTGGTCCAGTGTCCATGTTCTTAATTATTGTGCTATATTATTCTGGTCCCTGACTTACAGCAACCAAATATACGCTGGGAGGGGCAAATGCTACACACACACTTAGAAAACTGTACAGGAAGACATATTTGAGTACTGACTGTGGGGGTTATAGGCTAGTAACTGCTATAAAATTGTACAGACTGGGGACCTCATATTACAGGGACAGTAGTATAGACTTTGTTCCTTCCTCTTAGTGTCAGGATGATCATCTCTGTGGGACATCTCCTAGGGAGAGATGAACATGGTAGGTCTTTACCTTTTCGTGTAACTTGCTTATTTGGGGATGTAAACCCTGTAGACCTTCTCAGAGTCCCTGGATGACTTCCTCCTTTTTCCTGTTTGCTCTGAACCTCCCCTGGGACCCTCTGACCCTTGGACTTAGCTGAAACCCCTCACCTGTCCCCAGCGGTGGGAGGTGTGGGCAAGGTAGATCCTCTTGAAATAAACTCGGGACATGAGAGACAGATCAGCGCTCTTTTCTCTCTTCCATGGCCTACCGTAAGGGGTGGGTTCCTCATGCTATTCTTCCAGAGAGTTTGCATGTGTTGAGTGAGTCCATCCAATAAGGCTCCTTTCTGAGCATCGTCCTGATGTTGAAATAAACAAACTTCTCTGAAGACAGCGCTTTGCTCCTTGCCCAGCTCCCCTTTCCCATGACCCTCTCTGCTCATGGCTTGTTCCTCTCATGTAGAATGCTAGCATCTTAATCCTTCTCTCAGGCTCTGTATTCTAGGAGACATGGGTGATGAAAACATTTACAGTTTCAGCTCTCTGCAAGTGACATCACGATTTCATCGTATGTAGTAGTTTCTAATTTCTTCTTGTTGAGGCAAGAAGCTGACTCTTATTCTCCTCTGTTCCTGGATCTTCAGTTGTGCTTTGGGGGACGAAGGAAAGTCTGTGTTTGGGGGCAGCATAAACAAGTGATGATGAGGCCACCAGAAATGATTAGGGAAATTTGGGGAGCAGCAGATTGGAATGAGGACAAAACCCAACACTTTCTGGGTATTCTCAGAGTTGTGCAGGCTATGGATTTCCTAAGTCAGAGGGTTCAAATTTGCTTGTTTGGATATTGTGGGTATTGAGTCATCACAGAAGAGGAGAATCTTGGGATAGAAGCTGTGTGTATATGGTATTGTACATCAAGATATGGTATGTTTATGATTGGAGGGTACATGAGTTAAAAAACACCTGGGAGAGTGGACAAGGTCCCTGTCTAGGAGACGGCACAGCTGCCCTCTCCAGGGGAACAAGGGCAGCAGGAGGAACATGGGAGTCTGTGAACATGTCTCCCCACAGAGCAGGCAGGAGAAGGAAAGGCAAGGAGCGCTGGGAAGAGCACGGGAGTGAAGGCCTCGTTCTTTGCCATTAGCTGCAAGGCCTTTACTCTGGCCCTACACGGACCTGTCAAAAATACAAGTCTCATCGCATCACCAATCTACCTGAAACACTTCAACGGTTTCTCGTTGCCTGTAAGATAAAGCACAAAACTCGTAACCTGCTGGGTGAGATTGTCTGAGCCGGTGCCGATACCGAACTGCTCAGCCCCGACTCCTGTCACCCGGCTCTAGGCTCCTTCCACGTTAGCCATTCCGGGTATGTTTGTTTATGATACTTCTGTTCTTATACATGTGGGCCTTTGACCAAAGTTCTTCTTCCACTCGTGTCACTCTTCCCTTTCTTTGTCAGCTCATCATTTAGAGTTGCAGATGAAATGCCATTTCTTTAGGCTGACCCTCCCCAGCTTCCCGGACTGCAAGGGCCCTTGGCATATGCCCCTGTAGTGCTCGGTGCTTTCTCTCTCTAATATTCATTCGGCCAACGTTTCTGGAGCCTGGCATCGTTACATGCATGAGAGATACGGCAGTGAAGGCAGCGGTCAAAAACCCTGTCTTATCACACTTGGAGTTACTGGCCTGCTGCTTGTATTCTGCCGGCACAGCTCCAAGAGGGCAGGAGCATCTCTCTCCTGTTCGCTGCTTTATATGCAGCATGTAGTATGGAGCCTGCCACACTGTACATGCTTAGTGAATATTTGTCAAATAAATGAATGGTAAAGAAGCTGGAGATTCCCCAGGGCTGTAACCTACAGGCCTTAAGGACACCTTGGTGGGCAGTTCTGACACAGTCAGAGGCATAAAGTGGTTTAGCATGCTGGGGCAGCTCCAGACTCGCTAGGAATTATGAATGATGTAAAAGGATAACTTAACCTGTTAGGCAGAAACATTTCAGGCTATCAGGGCCAAATATTGATTTTAAATGTTTTAAGAGGGTTCACTGTTGAACAGAGTGGGAGGGCCAAGAAAAGAAACCCCGGCCCCGGGGGCTCACTAGAGTCCTGGCTGGTCTCCATGCATGCTTATCACACAGGGGGTTTTAAAAACAATCTTGTTTATTTGGGGGTAGGCTACAGTTGTACAATGTTTGGAATTGTTATTTCTTTCATCTCTATCTATTGGCACAAGAGGATAGAACTAAGTTGGGAAAACTAATTTTGCTTTTGAAAATATATTCCTTTGCAAATTAATGTTCAACTACAAATAAATACTGGTTCTGAATAAGAAGTTTGGGAGAGTGAAATAACTAATTCTAGATAGGAAATTCCTTGAGGACCAGGTCTGTACCACATTCACCTTTGAGCCTCAGTACTGAGCAACAATCCTGGCAGTAATAAATTACCCAGTATTGTTTTTTCTTTTCATGAGTGAAGAAACACAGTCTCTTGACCAGGAAAGAAAAATCTGTTGAATTGCTTATTCTGGTTAGCATAGAGACCAAAAATTATTAATTGGCTGAAGTTCAAAATTTATAGATTACTTTGATGTAGATATAGTCAGGAAAAATAGTGAACCAAAATCAAAATAAAATATTTAAATTAGATTGCACTATTATATTTATTTGAAGCCTACCTACTTGGATAAGGAAATCACAAATACAAGAAAATAAAATATACAAAACAAAAACCATGGAAGAGAAAGTAGAGAAGAAGATTACATTAAGAAAACATTTTTGAGAAAAAGCCGTATCAATTTAGGACGACACCTAGCTGTCAGTTTCCTGTTAGCCTAGGAATATGTACTTATCATTGTCTGGTGGACAGAAACATCTAAGTTCATCAGGAGACAGAAATGTTTTCCTGATCCTGAAATCTGAGGTAATTTATCAGACGGGTCTTTGTAAAGACGACATTGAGAGAAACAGGGAAAAGATCGATAATGTCAATTTTACAAATAAAGATGAAAAGATGAATACAGGGAAGTCACCTCTTTTCTCAGCAGTGGGTGAGAGATGAGGACGTATTAAATCAGGGTTCTAATAAAAGCTGTTCCTGAGGGTATGATGAGTAGTTTTATGTTTCTCTGGAATGATGTGGCATAAATTTGGAGAGGATTAAGAAATGAATATGCTGTATCATCCTTTGTCCTGTGTATCTCTGAGACCTAGGAGCAACAGATGGGTGTCGGAAGCCCAGGGAGGGGTGGTGGAAGACTGTGCGGCCTTGAGGGCAGGGAGGGGGAGGCCATGTGGGAGCCCTGATCTTTCATCGGCACTCCTACCTCTGCTTCAACCAGCGATGTTCCTCAAGTCTAGGTTTTACATTTTGGGGTTCCTGCCTTATTTTTCCTTACCTCTGAAAGGAAAGTTCTGCTGAGAGATAGGGAAATGTGCCCTAGAACATACTGTTACTGAAGAAACACACTATTTAAAAAGCACCCACCTTCTCTGACCCACCACTCTTCACCCCCTTTCCTTGCTTTATTTTCTCAACAGCAACTTACCAATATCTAAGTTACTATAAAGTGGATTTCTTCATTTTGTGTATTGGTCAAGTTAAATAGGAAACAGCATCCTCAAACTGGGTGGTCTGAGGACAATGTAATAAAAGAATGATTTACAAAGGTGTGGGCAAGGTTTAGGAATCCAACAAGGGCTGACATAGTGCCTCGGGGCCAACAGCAGTGGTGGTGGTGGTGGGGACCTGTTGCCACCACCAGGCCTATAAAGAAAAGGGAAAGAGCAGTTACTGGAGTCAAGGGAGGAGTTTAGAGGGCAAGGCATCTAGAGAAACTAGAGAGGGCTGCCTTTGAGAGAAGCATGCGGCCATCCCACGATGAGTAAACTCCACCACTTTTCTCTTGTGCTGCAAATGCCTACCGTTGGCCAAATCCAACCAGAGATGGGAGGGCAAGAGAGCCTGTGGCTGTGGTCTGTAGAGATGCGCAGATCAGCGTGGGGAGGGCTGGACAGCAGATCGGGAGGCGCATATAAGATTGTCATTAAATTTCAATTCCTGGCTTTCTCTTCCAACAAGAAGTTTCATGAATGCTGAGATTTTTATCCGCTTTATTCTCTACTATATCCCCTGTGCCTGGAATTGGTGTTCAATAAATTTCTTGAATGAAGAAATAACAGTTGTTTTAATGTAAGTTAAAAAAGCTAAGCTATATAAGCAACATGCTACTAAACAACCAGTGGGTCAATGAAGAAATAAAAGAGGAAATAAAAAAATACTTGGAGAATAATGAAAATATGAACAATGGTCCACAATCTTTGGGATGCAGCAAAAGCAGTTCTAAGAGGGTAGTTCATAGCTGTACAGGCCTCAAGAGACAAGAAAAATCTGAAATTAACAATCTAACCATACACCAAAAGGATCTAGAAAAGGAGGAACAAACAAAGCCCAAAGTTAGTAGAAGCAATAAAATAATAAAGATCAGAGGGGAAAAAAATGAAATAGAGATTTAAAAAATACAAATATCAATGAAACTAAGAGCTGGTTTTTCAAAGAGATAAACAAAATTGTTAGACCTTTAACCAGACTCATCAAGCAAAAAAGAGGACTCAAATAAGTAAAATCAGAAATGAAAGATTAATTACAACTGATACCACAGAAATACAAATGAGCATAAGAGATTACTATGAAAAATTCATATGCCAACAAGGCTCTAGGCTCCTTCCACGTTAGCCATTCCGGGTATGTTTGTTTATGATACTTCTGTTCTTATACATGTGGGCCTTTGACCAAAGTTCTTCTTCCACTCGTGTCACTCTTCCCTTTCTTTGTCAGCTCATCATTTAGAGTTGCAGATGAAATGCCATTTCTTTAGGCTGACCCTCCCCAGCTTCCCGGACTGCAAGGGCCCTTGGCATATGCCCCTGTAGTGCTCGGTGCTTTCTCTCTCTAATATTCATTCGGCCAACGTTTCTGGAGCCTGGCATCGTTACATGCATGAGAGATACGGCAGTGAAGGCAGCGGTCAAAAACCCTGTCTTATCATACTTGGAGTTACTGGCCTGCTGCTTGTATTCTGCCGGCACAGCTCCAAGAGGGCAGGAGCATCTCTCTCCTGTTCGCTGCTTTATATGCAGCATGTAGTATGGAGCCTGCCACACTGTACATGCTTAGTGAATATTTGTCAAATAAATGAATGGTAAAGAAGCTGGAGATTCCCCAGGGCTGTAACCTACAGGCCTTAAGGACACCTTGGTGGGCAGTTCTGACACAGTCAGAGGCATAAAGTGGTTTAGCACGCTGGGGCAGCTCCAGACTCGCTAGGAATTATGAATGATGTAAAAGGATAACTTA